AAATTTTTTAATTTTTTTTTTTTCCCTCAGCAAGAAGATGACAAAGTGTTGAAGTTGGTCCAGAAGAAATTCTGTGCCAGTGGACCATATACTGGTAAGAGGAGAACTGGGAGCAGGAAAGGGGTGGGCACAAAACCACCAAAATTTCCCAATTTTAGAGGGATATTGTTGGGGTTTTTTTGTTGTTTTTCATCCAAAAGCAGCAGTTTTGGGAGCTGAAACATCCTCAGCCCCGTGCTCTGCCTGCATCCAGGTGGGAAAATCTGAGGAAATTCAAGTTTGGGTCTTTTCCATTTGTAGTTTCCATATCCTGGCGTGGAAAACAACATTCCTTGTCTCAAAATTCCTTCAAAAATGTCAATTTTGGGGCCCTCTGAGAGGCTGGGGAACAGCTGGTTTGTGGTGGTGCTGAAATAAATGGAATAAAAACACCCCAGGTTTGCAAAACTGCTGATTCCAGCGCTGATTCCACTCACTTCCCATGCTTATCTAAATTAAAATGTTTGCCTTGAAAGTTGATTTAAAGATTTTGGGGGTTTTAACTCTAAAACTGACATTTCCCTTCAGATTTTTAACTCTAAAAATCACATTTTCCCTCAGATATTTTACCTCTAAGATGGACATTTTCCTTCAGATTTTCAATTTTTTCCTTCAATTTTCAATAAGACTGACATTTTACTTCAAGTTTAGACTGTCATTTTCCCCTCAATTTTTTTTACCTCTAAAACAGACATTTTCCTTCAGATTAAAAATGTAATTTTCCCTCAGATTTTTACCTTGAAAACTGGCATTTCCCCCCAGATTTTTGACTCGAAAACTGATATTTTCCCTCAGATATTTGACTCAAAACTGACATTTTCCCTCATATTTTGACTCGAAAATGGCCATTTTCCCTCAGATTTTATCTGTAAAACTGACATTTCCCTTCAGATTAAAAGTGTCATTTTCCCTCAGATTTTTACCTTGAAAACTGACATTTTCCCTTAGATTTTGACTCAAAACCTGACATTTTCCCTTATGTTTTTGACTTGAAAATGGACATTTTCCCTCTGATTTTGACTTGAAAATTGACATTTTCCCTCAGATTTTTAACCCTAAAACTGATTTTCCCTCCGACTTTTACCTCTAAAAACTGACTTTTCCGATTCGGAGTTTTGTATTTGGACCTTTATTTTGCAGTTTAATTTTCAGCGCTGATCTGGGACCTTTTTGTGCTGTTTTCCAGTGTTTTCCACCCAATTTTTCCCGGTTTTCCCTCTTTTCCAGGGGAGGATTTCCCCATGTGGATGGTGCCCATCAGTATTTGCACGAGCGAGGACCCCGGCAGTGCCAAAATGCAGATTTTGATGGACAAACCCGAGCTCACCGTGGTGTTGAAGGACACCAAACCAGAGCAGTGGGTCAAGGTGAAACCCGAAAAATTCCATTTTTCCTTTCGTTTTCCTCTTCCCTCTTTTTATTTCTCTTTCCCTCGGAATTTTGGTTTACCTCTGGAAAAACTTATTTTCTTCCCTGTGCTGCTCTGGAGTTTTGGTTTCTATTCCTCCTCTTTTCTTTCCCATTTTCCTGCCGTGTCAATTGGATTTTTTGGGAATTAAAGCCTGGAAAAAATTCTGAAATTAAAGGCAGGATTTGAGTTGAGATGTGGCTTCTTTAGTCATTGTTATCATTATTATTGCAATTATTGTTATTATTGTCTCATTACCATTATAACAATTGTAATTATTACAATCATTACATACTTTATACTGTGTATTAAATATATTCTCTTTATTTATATTTAAATTCTTAACCACATGAATATATTATAAATCTATACATTATATAATTCTAATACAAATATATAATAGTATTATTAATTTAAAATTATGTATCTATTTCTATAATATATTAATACATAGTTTAATATATTGTTTTTCTATATATAGTTTTCCTACATATGCTTTTT